TATTGGTACAATACTGACTTTAACATATGAGAGCTCTTCAAAAACTTCATGGAAAGATTTGTATTATCTTTTAATTCCATTTTTCCATAAACATTTTGAAGAACCCTTGTATGTTCTAGGATATGGATAGTTTGAACAACATTAAAATTATTTGCTATATAAAGGTGAGATTAACACTTAGCTGGCTCTGGTGGTATTTTCAAGAGTAGATATCTTCCTAATCTCCCTATAGTAATTGGTCTAGGCAAGTTTTCCATTTTTTGCAGTGTGTGTGGGGGGTGGGAGGGAAAGGGGATAGGGAGTTAATTTGCCAATGTGTATTACTTTTCCAGATTAAAAAAATTTTTTTTGCCTAGAGCATTATAGGAAGTATTCTCTTATAAATCACCTATATCTGTGATAAGCTCACCTTTCCCTGTATTAAGCTTAATCTTCCTCTGACCATCACCTTAGCTATAAATGGAATGCCTTTATACTTGTGACTTTAGAGGGTTTAGAGTTTATCATTCCACCTTCATAAATTGTGACTCTTTATCTGATATTATTATTGCCATTTTGGCATTAAGTGAATTTCCTGTAATTAAAAGGCTGTGTAAAATTAAGCAGGGAAAAATAATTTTAACTTTAATTTAAAATAAGTGACTAAGGTGGTCAGAGTCACTTATTGCCATTTTGGCATTAAGTGAATTTCCTGTAATTAAAAGGCTGTGTAAAATTAAGCAGTGAAAAATAATTTAAATTTTAATTTAAAATAAGTGACTAAGGTGGTCAGAGTCACATTGTGTGTGATAAAATTATAGTACATCTATAATAGGGAAAATAGCAAAAATGTTTAAAAGATATATATGGGTATAACAGGGAAAGACTATTATGCACAGACTAAATAAGAAGACACTGAGGAGCTGAAAGTAGAGGACCATTAGCCTTTTTGTATCTTCCATTTAGTTTCCTGAAAGGGAATATTTTCTCATGAGTAAACTTTTCAGCTGTATTTCTTTGACCACCGTGCAATTCTCATTGTGAATCTGATGAGAAAAGAGAACAGGAACAGTTCTCAGACTTACCTCAGGATGGAAGCCATGACAAGATTCTGGACGCCTCCTGATCTTCTGGGCCTTTAAACGTTCACACTTAAGGGATTCATTATGTTGACTGTAGTTAAGGCACATTTCCAAGGATCACTTTTCCTATTCTGTGTTTCAGAGGTCAAAACTTGGCACTAACCTCCCTTAACAACTTCTCTCTCTCCGACAGTGGAAAGGATGTAATTTTTCCCTCTCTAATATTTCTCCCCCAGGGTTCCTTACTGTTGACCCCCCTTACCAGTTTCAGCAGTAGGGGCTGGACCTCCGCACAAAAGGATATACCTGATTTCAATGGGCGCCATGGTGATGGGGGCCACGGACTCACAGAGGCAGCTGCTGTCCACCACCACCATGAACAGATTGCTGCTTGGGATTTGCTGGATGACAAAGGACCTGTTGGAACAAGAGGCAGCAAGACAGTGAGGGGTCATCTGCCATCCCTTAATTAAATAGCTATGAGGAAAACTTTCCCCCAGGTGGTAACTACTACAGTATTTTGTAAAAACACATTTCAGAGTCTGCTTTACTACTCAAAATTGTCTGCTTCCATGAGGCACTTCAGTTAAAAATACCAGTTTCACTAGGACAACAGCTACAGCCACACGCAGCTCATACAACTCACCTTGGAAAGACTGGAATTTTATATGTGCAAAACAGAAGAGTTGGAGTTGGCTAAATCACCTCTGTTTCCAAGGTTTTAGAGGTGAGGTTTTTCTGAGCCTAATTTCTTTCTCCCAGAGTCTAAACATTATCCCAAGTTGCATGTGATGTTCCTTTAGATGGGGTTTTCTCTCACCCTCCTTAAAAATAGACTGAAACCACGTCATACTGATGACAAATGAAGTGGTGAACTTCCTATACCCGTCCCTGTGCCACTTTGTACAATGTCTGCCTAGAAAAGAGGAACCATGTTTTGAATGAAATTAATGCTAGTCATTTAAGAGGTTCCACCTTTCTCAGAGTCCAAGTTCTGTACCGAGCTCAGGCCACACAGCAATTCTGATCTTCAGAATCCATCAGCACAGCTAGTCCAAATGAAGGAAGCGTGATGGCACCTTCTTGTCACACTGCCAATGCAGTGAAGTGACAAAGTCACACCACCATAAGAATGATCGTTTAACGGGCACTACTACTGACTCCTTGGAGAAACAAATCAGGGATCAAAAACCCATATTCTTCCAGAGCCAACAGTTTAGCCAAAAATGCAGACCCAGGCATAGTTCCTCTGTCACATAACTTCTCCTGATATTTTATTAACTTCAGTGTAGTCAGATGAGACAGATTTTAACCTAACAAAGTTGTCAGTTTCTCTGTAATTTTACCTTCATTCATCTTACTCTCAACAAATTTGTTCTATTTTCTAGTGTATCACCATGAAGAACTAAAATCATGCAATGAAAAAAAATACAAAGTTGTCAGTTTCTCTGTAATTTTACCTTCATTCATCTTACTCTCAACAAATTTGTTCGATTTTCTAGTGTATCACCATGAAGAACTAAAATCATGCAATGAAAAAAAACCCTTCTACTTTATGGAAAATTATAAAGAAGGGAAAAGACCCCTTTATTATTTTATTTTATT